ACCTCGGAAGGATGGAAGGCTGAGTCAACCCTGAGCCGGTGAGATTTGAACCGCTGAACTGCTGAACTGGACTGTCTGCTGGGAGAATGATTATGCTGTTGTCTTTCCTCAGGTTGGTGACTGCTTTTTCTTCTTATTGTTGTAAGTTGCTTCTGGGTGGATTACTGCAGCAAAGGATGTTGGTGACTGCAAGTCTGATTTTATTGGCTTCATCTGGGTTGAGCCATACTCCCCCTCCCTCCCTCCTTTCCATATCCCCCCCCCCCAATTCTCATTTGGAATGTAGATGTACCTCCTCCAATAGGCTGGTCATTGTGTTAATCTTTAGATTTGCTTGTGAGAACCTTGACTGATTATTCTTCTTTTGCTTTTGCTTGCCATCTTCAGTAGGTGTTCCATTGGTTCCTATAGCCTTTCAATTTGATAATGACCAGAATGCTGATATAACTTCATATTCTAATATTAGAGGTTATTCTAAGTAGGGGGTATCTTTTAAGGTATATTGGATATTGATGTTTTTACTGAACAATATTTCAGTACATATTCCTTCCATCTTTTTTTGATCTCTTTCATTCAATTATTCTCAGTCAATTGGCAATCTTTGGCATACCACTCAAGATTAGAACTTTCTTCTGAGGTATGTCAGCTATTAATTCAAACTTTTGAATTAGCCTTGTATTAAAGGAAAGACCAGACCAGACAGTATGATTCCTTACAGCCTAGATTTAATTTAATGTTAATTATTTTAATGTTTGAAAGCAAAAATCTAAGATAAATTTACTTAAATAGGATGACATTTTTATTTTTTATTTCTCTCTGTGTGCGTATATGTAAGGTTTTTTAAAGTTTTGTTGGTTAAATTGTTTGAGCTGTTGTTTTCATTTTAATTTTTAATGTATTCTTTTTATTTTTTATGGTTTTTCTTTACATAGTTTAATAAAAGGTTTTTTCTTTATTTACACAATTAACTTATTATATAGCAAACTAGTTTTTTCTTCCAAAGTTTAAGGTGTTTTTATATTAGATTCCACTCAATAGATACTATTATATCATTCTTTTTAAGAAATGTCAACTGCAACCTTTGTAGAGTGTAATACAATTATTTAGAAAAAGAACATCAAGACTGAAAATCTGCAACTATTAACTCCCTCAATGTCGATGTCTCCTTCCTGAAACATACAGTGTATGAAATGTCCTTGATGCTCTCTGAGCTTGCTTATTTTTTTGCAGTCATTTCATTACCCAAACTAGGTAACCTCATCAGTGCTAGTCGCTGAGCTACAAATATTCTCCTTTATTGTTATGTACAGTATACATTTATCTCCAGTTCACCACTAACCAGGATCTGTAGCAGCCAAGTATTAAATGTCTTCATATCATCATTCAGTTATTACAGAAGCCTCTTATTTTTGCAAAATAGCGGTTGGGTGATTCTAGAAAAGGCTACACAGGAAGATGCCTTTGTATCTTTGAAGATGTCCTGAGGAAATCATTGAAATGACAGAGCAATAGTAGCTGAGGAAAGGAGGAAGCTATCTACTACAGGAAAAGATAGTGTAGATAACCTTCACGTACTTGCTACACTGCAGCCTCTAATCTATTCCAACCAACCTTATCGCATCCCACCCAGCATAATTCTGAGCTGATGATGCAGCAAAAGGAGGCATGTAGTTGCTACTGATGATGAACATTTAGGATATTGAAAGGAGGCAGGAGGCAGAAATGCTGGGTTTGCATTGTTGAGAAGAGCAGACAACTTACACGGATGCACGGACACAAACACACACATACACACACACACACACACACACACCTCAGCTATCTAGTTTTAGTGCAGTTTCAGATCAGTGATCACAGAGCCAACCAAATGCCAACTAAATTCTTAATGACATGAAATTGAATTATCCTCTACTCTCAGACTGATCCAGCATCCTTGGGCTGGGCCACATTGCACATCTGTGTTCTGACCTGCACAGGATACCATTCATTCATTGAGAGTCAACTATTTGGCCTACCTCAGGGGTAATGAAGTCTACTTCACAGCACAACATGAGACAGTTTCTTGGATACTATCCTAATTTTTAGAACAGATGCAAATAATAAGCAGGAGATAAAACAACCCGATAAAAATCATTTTGAGAAATAAGGAGTAGTCCTGAGATTCTGTGGATGGCAAACTCAAAAAAGGCTAAATGAAGCATCCAAGCTGAAACTAAAATTTCCAAATTTAGGTTAACACAATTCTGAATACAAAGCAATGTTTTTCCCCCCAAAATTACACCTTGAGTAGGTAGTTTAAAAACAGCAACAACCAAAACGACTAAAATCCAACCAAAGTTAAGACTCTTAAAACAGTGTTGAATTCACTGACATGAAGCATCCATACTTAAACTACTCCCATTTATCATAATGCTTAAGTTTGGTTGTTCTTATGTCACGCTGATCTATTTTAATCTGGATATTGTTGGCCTTAAGGCAAAGGGGGTCTTTATTAATTGGCCTGTGGAATACATCAAGGTTGTGCACAACCCTGGTTTCCATGAAAAACATGATTCTGAGCAAACACCCAGCGCATCAGTCAATCATATCTTTTCCTAGGGTTGTACATCAACTACAGAAGACCGTGCCACAGGTCCAGGAGTTCCTAACAGATAGTGCGCACAACACAGATCTATGTTTCACCCAATCATAAATGCTCTTTGAAATCAGAGCTTGCCACACTCCAAATAAGTAGCACTGAATAGACCAATTAATCATGATTTTTTTTGTCTGAGTCCACATTCCCAACCTTATTATATGCTGTTTTTTGGGAACCATATTTAGGGATAGGTGCGTATCCCCAATGTATGCATCCTCTAAAGCAATGGTTCCCAATCTTTTTTTTTGGCCATGCCCCATCTAAGCATCTCTAAATTCCTGATGCCGCCCCTTCCCCCACCCCGGTGACATATAATTCTTATTTTACTTTAAAAAGTGCATTCTACTCATGCAGAGGAAGCCAAGAAGGCTGGGTTTAACTTGGTTTAAACAAGGTTCAAATTACCCCAATTAAAAATCAAATTGCCCCCCATGGGATGTGGGCCCCACGTTGGGAACCACTGCTCTAAAGGAAATTAATTCAGTGAGGCCTACTCTCAGATGAACCAATATAGAATTATAAATAAAAGACTAAATCTTCATAAAGTGTTATTTCCCAGAAAATAATACATGGAGTTTGTGCAAGCCATTTCAGGGATGGCCCATTTTTTTGAAGTAAAATGATATGTGTAAAAACCAACCATTTAAAAAAAAGAGAGACAACATTTAACTTGACTGCAGTTTATTGAAAATGATCAGCTCCTAAGAAAATGGGAAAGAAAGCCTAAGAAATGAAGATAGGTGCAACATAATCCGCAGAACTGGTCCAAGATTGAATGTTTTCAAAGTACAGTCCTTGATTCCTGATTTCTTAACCATGAATTGTTGTTGCTCAGGATTCTGCAGAACCCTGTCTTTCTGCAAACCCAACTGTTGAGTGAAAATGCAGTGGTGGTTCAAGGAAATTGGCATTTAACTTAGCAGTACAAGTTTGACTTGCCTAACATTGACCAAACATATACAGTGAAAACACATGATCTCCTCAATGAAGCAGGGAACTATAGCAAGACTGAAGAGAACCATTGGTGGGAAGAAGATTCCAGGTAGTGAGAAAAGATCTCTTTCATGCTTATCACTATTTGGCAGCCACCAATTAGGCCAAATATATACAGCATACTGAAGGAAGCAAAACCCAGATTCGTAGTTGATTCATCTCCCCTTTCTTTCAAGCGTTTCTCTCTTGGATGTCCTAAAATGGAATTTGGTTACCATTTCATGACTGGTCATCGAAAGCAAGAGAAGTGAGATGGACGATGACCTCCTCAGCAGGGGCTGGCTGCAGGTTTCCTCTGGGAAGGAAATAGAGATCAGATCTTGGGCTTTAGAAGACACAGTTTGTTCTTTTCTGGGTTGCCAGAATGAGGCTGAAAGAGTTGTGTTAACACAAGCAGATAAAAGATGTTCCTTTCCTTTGGGGGGACCGGGAGAGATAGCTAATATCTTCCACTTGATTTGGTGCACGAGCTGGATGTGGTGGTTCTTCGGATGACAGTGCCGGAACCACTTCCTGAGCCATGAGAGAATCCACCTCCTCCTCCACAGACAGAGCCGCCAGCCCCTCCACCACTTATAATGCCACCGTAGCCTCCACTTCCGTAGCCACAGCTACCTCCGCCGATGCCACCGCCAACACCACTTCCAATGCCACCACAAATGCCACCTCCTATTCCACCACCAATGCCGCCGCCAAAGCCACCGCCAATGCCACTGCCGCCACCGATGCCACCTCCAATGCCACCACCGTAGCTACCACCCCGCACAGCTGTAAAGGAAACACAGAGTTAGTACACATGTCTTCACAATTTTAAAAACTGTAAATATAGTCAAGGGGAAAGGATAAGGTACTTACAGACATGGACTGGAGATCCTGAGCCACAGAGCCTGTTTAAAGCAAAAAACACATGTGATTTTTGAACAAAATTATCCTTCGTGAAATAGACAATTGCGTTGTCTATGAATAGGCTGAGTGATATTTCCATATGATAGTCTACTACAGGGGTGTCAAACCAGTGGGCCACATTCGGCCCACTGGGTGCTTAGATCTGGTCCGTGGAGCCACCCTGGAAACAACAAAAGACTGGCCCGCAGTGTCTCTGCCAGCAAAAACGGAGGTTGGGAGGGCTGCACATGACCCTGCCAGGCTCCACTTTCAGCTGCAATGGCCTCTGCCAGTGAAAGCAGAGCTTGAGGAGGCTGCACATGGTTCGTCCGGGCTCTGTTTTCAGCCACAACAGCCTCCTGCAGTCCTCTAACAGCGAAAATGGAGTCTGGGTAGGCCGCGCATGCCGCCTCTGCCAGCTGAAAATGGAGCCTCGACAAGTGATGTCGAGCTAGCCATGTCCCCGACTATGCCCCCCAGCCATGCCCCCTATCCTCCCTTGGTCAAGCCAACCCTGATGCAGCCCTCAGTCAAATCGAGTTTGACACCCCTGGTCTACTATATATGAATCATAGAATTATGAGCTGTAGCTTGAAACTGACAAGCACAAATCACCTATCCAATTTGTTGTTTGCAAGGTGGAGTCCCCCTTCTCATGAATCCCCATGTCCTACCTGCAAACCAATCCACAAAGGGAAATGGGTGGGTTGCTCCCGGCGTTACTGCCAGTTCTGCGCGCGCAAAAATGCTTGCGCATTCGCACAAAAATAGGTCTGTGCATGCGCAAAATGTTTAAAAAAGAAAAAAATAAATTTGTGCAATTACAATTGTTCTGCGCATGGGCAGAACCAAAAATCAAGATGGCGGCTCCGTAAGAGAACCGGTTTGGGGGTGCAGCAGGCCCTGGTTGCTGCTGGTTCCAGCGACCCAGGTTGCCAAACCACTACCGGTTCAGCCGAATTGGTCTGAACTGGTACGAACCCACCTTCGAAGGGAACACCTTTGAAATCCAAGTAAGGTGGAGAGTGAGACCTGGAGCACCCATGTGGCATGAAGCACATCAATATTTCCAAAGGCAAGTCAGAACGACAGAAGTTCCAAATCAAACCTCTTTCCCCAATTTAGGGTGTGAAATATTGACAAGACAATCTCCAACTATTCAGATATTTAAGTAGACATCATCTACATCTGTTCATAGATTTTTAGCTAGATTTAGCTTGCAGGCCCTTGGCCCATTGAAAACCAATCCCACTCCTTAAAGAGACCAACAGACAAACCTGCTCTCTTCTCCTTCCAGCAGTTTCCTATACATGGCAATTTCGATGTCCAGAGCAAGCTTGATGTTCAGCAGATCTTGGTACTCTTTCAGGAGGCGAGCCAGCTCTTCCTTGTCTTTCGCCAAGGCACATTCCAAGTCATGCAGTTTTTGCTTAGCATCTCGGAGAGCCAGTTCACCACGTTCCTCAGCTTCGGCAATGTCAGACTGCAATTTAGCATACTGCAAGGCAAGAGAGATAACAAACAGCTCTAGTTGCCTCATGGACATCTTTTAAACTCCTTTTAGATGAAGTATTTACCATGCTGTGATTCTATTTCATTTGGAAAATTTTCCAGCAGCTTCTACCAAAGGTTCTGAGTTTTTCTCTCTGCACCAAATATGTGCATAAATTTAAACCCACCGTAAATAATGGGATAATTCTGCACTATCACTTGCGTGGTAGCACTTGGGAGCTAAAGCTGTCCAGATCAGAAAAAGAATGAATTCATGTTCGTGTTCTGAGCTCACTGTTTTGTTTTATTTCTCTTTTTTAAAGATCTGTTAAAACTCACCCTTTTTTCAACTATCCAAATGCAATTTTAACATAATTATCTCTAATTACGTTTTAACATGAATAATCTCAAGATAATATCAATCTCTAGTATTAATTTCCATGACGTCATTCCTTGTTAACTTACATTTCCTCTGTGTAGGGTTTTAAAACATAAGTTCCCCAGTGTAAGCTATTTTCCTTTATGCAGCTTATTTCAGAAATATACTTTCTATACAATATAGCTTTTGCTTTTTTTAAGAAAAAGTGGACTTTGGATCTAAGAAATGCTTCTGTTCATATTATATGTTACAAAGGAATCTGCCTTGGTGGCAGAATGCTCAGTATGGAAACACAAATGACTTCCTTGGTCCTGGGAATTTGATTGTTCATCAGTGGGACAACTTACCTCCAGAAGTTGTGAATGCTCCAACACTGGACATTTTTAAGAAGAGATTGGATGTGTCTGAAATGGTGTAGGGCTTCCTGCCTAAGCAGGGGATTGGACTAGAAGACCTCCAAGCTCCCTTCCAACTCTGTTAATGCTATTCTATTCTAATGTAGATGCTCAGCAATGATAAAAGGGCTCAACACTCTGTCTGAATATTACAGTCTTTTTTTATTCTCATGTTCCAGCCGTCAGCCCAGATGCTTAATCCAATTTTTAAAAATGTATTATTATTGTTTTATTTATTATTTATTTATTTATTTATTTATATTTATTTATTTATTTATTTGAATGTATAAGCTGCCAACTCTAATGGATTCCAAATTTCTGTCCAGGCAAGCCCTAAGATCTTCTGACACATTTTTTTTTTTTTGCTACTATTCTTTTTCTGAAGCAGCACATAATGGAGTTAGAGAGATAAAACATTTTACACTCCACTTTTTTTAAAATTATCATTCCTTTAAAACATGGAACCCCGTTACTATGATTCCTTCTACTTTTCAGTTTTGAGGTTCTGAACTAGGATGCTTTGTTTCCCTTATTTCTCCAGGTATGATGGTGATTTCCTTATACCACCTCTGAGTTCCTTATATCAAGTCAGATCAAGCATCTCTTCAGAAGGCCTTTTCTACTATGGTAGACCAATGTAGTAATTTTTTGTGAATGGCCTTATATCTAGGCACAACTGAAATATGAACTCTTCTTTGCTTAACAATCTCCTAATGCACTTCAGCAATCTACAGACATCAGCACGGAAAAGACAAATCTTAGAAGCTTTTTAAAGCCTTTTGTAGCAAGGCTTAAATTGTCTATGAAAATTCTCAGTCATCCAGATCATGATTGTCCCAAAGATGCTTTTTTTCCCAAAGGAACCTGGACTTACTTTGTTTTTCCTTGAAGACATTTCACTTCTCATCCAAGAAGCTTCTTCGGAAGAACTGAAGAAACTTCTTGGATGACAAGGAAAAACAAAGAAAGTCCAGGTTCCTCTTGGAAAAGAAAAAAGCATCTTTGGGACAAGGCTTGACTTATTGCTCCCTCCCCAGTCCCAAACAGAGTCTATGGACCTTGACTGAGGCTGGGGGACATGTCTCATAATTAGAGATGATCACTCTGAAGAGATTCTTTATAAAGAATAATAAAGGATAAATGACAGGAATAGTGAATCCGGCAAGAGCAAAGGGGAAGGTTTAAGCCTTTATGTGAACAAAAGCTTGTACACTGAAGACAGCAATAATTTCATTGTACTATGTGCAATAACAATAAAGTAAACTAATTAAATATGTGTAGCAGAACAGATTCTTTTTAAGATATATGCATCAACACCTGAGGTTCCCACTTGCAACATGTTCTCCCATGAACCACTGAAGAGCAGATTAAAATTATTAAGAGGCTAAGAAGAGCAACACATTTGAACCATTGGCTCATCCAGTTCGGAATTGCTGACAATGACAAATAGCAGATCTTTAAGATTTAAAGATTTATGAAGATTCTCCAGCCCCACCTGACGACTCTTAAGACATTATTCCTGCCAAACCAGTCTACCATGAATCAGAGCCCTTTCTTGGTACCCAGCTTTTCCTTTTCAACCACCGCAGAAAAGATACTATCCCCAAACCAATGTAATTCACCATTCCATTTTGCTAGCCAAGCCAACAATGTCACACCTGGACTTACATAAAGATAATGCAATTCATCTTGTGTACAAGAGGGCTCAGCTATGATGATGCAATAAGTTATGTGGATGGGAGAAGCAATTTAAAAGGAGTTTGACAAGTTTCAGTGAAATGTGTTGTTACTGAGTCAGAATGTTATCTGCCTGACAAACAGAAATGCTCCAAGATCTTAAATCAAATGATTTTAAAAAGTCACTTAAAATAAATGATTTTAAAAATAGGCACCTCATAAGATTTTGCGCAAGTTCTCACTAAGAGATTCTTTCCCTCTGTAGAGGTGAATTCGACACTCATAGAGTGACCTGGATTTCCCAAGGAGATTGAATCGTAATCCTTCCCTGCACACTCCATACCTGCTTCTTGACATGCTCAAGTTCTGAACGCAGTCTCTGGATGTTCCTAGTCAACTCTTGAATCTCCTGCCTGGTGTTGCGCAGATTGTCACCATGTCGTCCTGCTGTGTGCTGCAGCGCTTCAAACTGTTGGGTAAAAAAAGTGTAATTATCCATCTTGCTGCATCAGCCCAGTGGATGACAATGGAAGCAGAATAGCTCAGGGATGACAAAGAATGGCCAAACAAACATTCCTAAATTACAATTTCCAGCAGGCCCAGCCAGCATAGTTAATGGTAATGGATGCTTGAAGTTGTACTTCAGCCACATTCAAAGAGCTATGGCTTTCACACTTTATATTGATTATAGTTTATTATCGAGGTTCCCAGAAAGGGCTTTGTAAAGCGTTGTGAGTACTGACTCCATACTTAAGATCTTAGGACCAAGATGCAGAAGCTGAGAAATCATTTTAAGTCATATGGTAATTGGAATCTGGGCATGGTTGAAGAGTCTATACAAACAATGTATCAATATCTGTCATGGATAACTAAGGGTTATTTTGCCTCAGATAACTGCTTTTTTTGTCACATTCTTTCAGAAAATGCTTAAAAGATTGATTAAAATAGGGTCCCCACAACTCACTATTCATGTTCATTTCTAGCCTGTGTGTCAGCGCTGAGATTGGACATCTTTAGGACTGACTTGTTGCCCTTGGCCAGATTTTTAGGCTTCATCACTCCCAGCCTTTCTCAATCTGACCTCTTCCAGATGAGGCAGGACTGCATTTCCCAGAATCCCTAGTGAGCACAGCTGAGAACCTACAAGATAAGTATTCTACAACTTTGGAAAGTGCCAGACAGGGGAAAGCTGATCTGTCCTGAGAATATCAATCATGGCGTTTGCTGCCAAGGCTTTCTTCAGAGAATTATCAATATTGTACTTTGGTGAGGGAACTACAAATTTGGTTTTAGAAGTCCGGAGAGAAATTAAAGTCCAATTTGCAGGGACTGCATGGAGAAAGAGAACAATCATTTAAATAGTAGTCTCAGCAAATGAGTAGAAGCGGAAAGTCCCTTCTGCAATGTTCTGTGATTCTGTAATTTCTGGAGTTCTTGCTTCCCGGAAAAGCATAAGATAAATTAGGGGATTTTATTTCCTTGTATCAGTGCGATTACTTACCTGGGAGTGATACCAAGCCTCAGCTTCAGCTCGGCTGCTGCGAGCAATCTCTTCATACTGGCTCCTTACTTCATCAATAATACCTTCCAAATTCAAGTGGGTATTATTATCCATGCTCACTACTACTGAGGTGTCTTGGCCTCCAGTCTGGTACTGAGAGATTTCCTATAACAAATCCAAAAAGCATGCGTTAGGATGGCAATCTGTCTCACTTTTCCCATTTCACCACTCATGAATTATTTTTCTTACTCCCAATACTGTACATTTTTAAATTCATAATTTTATTTAGAACCCCCTTCTTGTATTTCTTTTGGAACAGCTTATTTCATTCTGTAACACAAAAAGCTTTGGCCAAATCTGCACCTTTCCCTGTATAATTTTTTTTAAACCACTTTTTTTGAAAGATTTTCAGATCTGAGTTGTTTCAATTGCAAATGCAAAGCACAGTTTTTCAAAATAAAAGGAAGTAAGCTTTTTAAACAAACAGAATCCAGGACAGAATTATGACTTTCAGTTTAAAATAAATGTCTAAGTGTCAGGACAATAAAGATAAATGTGGTAAAGCAGTAAAAAACAAAACACGAATGGCAGAACATAATGAGGATTTTAGTAAGCAAAAGTGAGGATTCCCTGCATATGTCACCTCATGGCTATCTAGTTTTGATCTTCTATCCAATGATCACTCTTTATGTGATGCTTCATCTTCTTCTTTTTAAGCTCTGGGTCAGTCTGGGGCTTGTTTGTACCACACAATGACCCCTAACAAGGTTAGAGGTAGCATGTCATTGAAGTTCCTTACAGGCTCAGAATGAGAGTTAAGATAAAGGCTACTGAACCCTGTTTATTGACCTTACTATGGCCCTGTGTGCATTCAAACTCAGGAGGGATAATTGAAGAGGGGTTAACTAAAATTGTGGCATCTGGATATATTTTTGTGTGGCAATAGTGGTGTACAAAAAGATTATTTAAACAGGTAGTCCACAACTTATGACCAAAACTGAGTGAAAAGGTTCTGTTGCTAAAGGTGATGAGTTCTGCCCCATTTTATGACCTTTCTTGTCACAGTTGTTAAGTGAATCACTGCAGTTGTTAAGTTAGTAGCACAGTTGTTAAGTGAATCTGTTTCCAATTGACTTTGCTTGTCAGAAGGTTGCAAAAGCTGATCACATGGTGCCAGCATACTGCATCCATCATAAATATGAGTCAGTTGCCCAATGTCTGAATTTTGATCAAGTGACCATGGAGATGCTGCAACAGTTGTGGGGAGAAAGATCATAAATCACTTTTTTTCAGTGCTGTTGTTTAGCTTTGAACATCACTAAAGCAATTGTTGTAAGTCAATGGACTACCCATAAAAGAGAACTGGAAGAAGGAATGGTTTTTCTCCATCCTGTGCCTAGGGCAGTGATGGTGAACCTTTTCGGTACCAAGTGCTCAAACCGGAACACACATGCTGGAGTGTTGGAAACCTGAAGACAAACTGGCCAGTGCGCATATGCCTATTTTCTGGGTATTTTTCAGGGCATTTTTCGGGCCATTTTCAGGCTGGTTTTTGAGCCATTTTCATACCATTTTTCAGGCTGGTTTTCGGGCTGTTTCCATGCCATTTGGGGGGCATTTTCACGCCATTTCCAGGCCAAAACCAGACTGAAAATGACCTGGAAACAGCCTAAAAACACCAGGAAAATGGCCTGTTTTGGGGGGCTTTTTCAGGTGGTTTTCTGGCGCGCTCCGGCGCCTGTGAAGACCAGCTGGCCAGCACACGTGTGCGTATTGGAAACCAGAAGAGCAGCTGGCAATGGTGCACATGCCCACAAAGAGGGCTCTGCGTGCCACTTCTGGTACACGTGCCATAGGCTCACCATCACAGGTCTAGGGTCTCCAGACACCTTTGTTTTTAGATGGGTGAGAAAGGAAGAAAAAGTCAGCCATCTCACCATTCTAAGAACATTTGCTGTTATAACATGGAGTTTTTTTGCGCTTGTAACCAAATTCACTGAAAGTGTGTCCTGTGGACATGCCCTTTGTGAAATAAGATTCTTTCTTGGAAGAAAAGACTCATGGGTTACATAAAGAGAAATCTGAATTTGGGTTCAGTGGGATCTAACCTTTTACTTCTAACCAATAGAACTGAACCATTTCTTACCACATCAAAGATTTTTCTCAGGAAGTTAATCTGCTCAGCCAAAGCACCAACTCTTGCTTCCAAGTTACTCTTGGACAAATAGGAACAATCCACATCCTGCAAGGATCCAGAAAAATGTCAGTGTAAATTTTCAACAAGTCTCATCACCAGTTTTAGCAAGTCTACCCAAAGAGCCCTGTATGTTCCTGTTAGGTTGTTTAATTTTAAGTCTTTGGCTCTCTGTTTTTGAAAGACCACATCAGCAACATGTGAAGAAACAATACAGTAGAAAATACATATAAGCAGGACAAAATTGCTGTTTCTGTTCTTCATGGAGTAATTACAGACAGCAAACTTTTTCAGCTCACAGCAGGTATCGGCAGGCTTCAACCCATGATACCTTTCTTTTTATACAAATGAAGCAATAGGCTCCATGCAAAGCTTAGATGAAGCAGACACCTTTTTGCATCTTTTTGACTAGTGTAAACCTCACTCTAAAAGGGAGAATTACAGGGAGAACATGTTTATTATCCAACATATCAGGAGCTATTGAATTTATAAATATGTGTATATATATTGGTGGCGCAGTGGTTAAATGCAGCACTGCAGGCTACTTCAGCTGACTGCAGTTCAGCAGTTCGGCTGTTCAAATCCCACCAGGCTCAAGGTTGACTCAGCCTTCCATCCTTCCAAGGTGGGTAAAATGAGGACCCGGATTGTTGTTGGGGGCAATATGCTGACTCTGTAAACCGCTTAGAGAGGGCTGAAAGCCCTATGAAGCGGTATATAAGTCTAACTATTGCTATTGCTATTAATGGCTAAGAGGAGAGGATAATAAATTTTAATTTCAATTTCAATGTCAAATTATTACTTTTAGCCAACTCTGAGGACCAAAATTAGCTATTCAGCATTTCTAATTGTCTGAATTTGGCAATGCAGCTCGCTAATAACAAAAGCTATATAAAGATTAGGAGATGTGGGATGATAGATGATAGAGATTAGATAGATTATAAGTAGGTAGATGAAAGGGAGGGAGGGAGGGAGGGAGAGAGAGAGACAATGAGAATGAGAATGAGAACTACCATACCATACAGTATGTGAGAGGAAATCAGTTGCAAAACCTACATATTTTTCATGGCAATCTTGCTAGTGAATATGCATATATCTCTAAACAAGAGAAATGTGCATCAAATTATTATGCATTCACATTTTTGTATAAACTTGGCAAAAAAAAATCTTAATCTTGACAAATGAAACTTGACAAACAAAAATCTACAGATTTGATCCTTTCTATTCATGGTTCTGCATCATTTCAAAACACCTTTTAATATGTCAGGCTCCCTGATGATGGAAAACAAATGTATTAAGGGGATTCATAATTTGATACCATGCTACTTTTCCATATGCAATGAGATTCAAATATGGACTGTAATCCTATAGTTGCATCATGTAGCGTTTTTTGCAACAACAAAAAGGTAGGCCTACATTGGAAGGTCATGCAAATTGTTGACCATGGTGACTTAGCTCTTAAAAGTTGGAGAAATCTTAAAAAACAATTTAATTCTACCCAAACTGCCAGATGTTCCCCTCTCACCTTTTTCAGCACAACAAAATCATTCTCAGCCGTTGTGCGCCTGTTGATCTCCTCTTCATACCTAGGGGGGGGAAAGCAAAGTTAGTTTATTGATTTCTTGACCAGGACTTTGACTGCAATCACATATAGACTACAGAAGCCAAGCTAAATACTAAATACAAGAAGTCAAGATAAATACAAAGCTATCATAATAAACACAATGAATAGAATGTGAACAAATTTGTCAAAGCAGCATTAAGAAATTAATTCTCCCATCTTGTTCATGGAACCAACTTCCTACACTGTTTGTAATGTTATCCCCCAACCTTATATCTATAACATTGGACTGCAATATTTATGTTCTCCAGGGCTTGGAGCAGCATGTCCAAAGAGCATTCTTTGTGGGAAAGTTTCTCAAGAATTGTGATCAGTGGCATTCTTGTGATCTGGTGCTCATCAGGGGGACAGACTATCATCCAACTGCAAGCTGAAAGGGACACAGTGGTCTGTTGTTTCTGAGGTTCTCACTTGTTCTTGAAGTCTTCCACATAATGCTGCATACTTTGGAGCTCTGTTGTCAGCTGTGCCTTCTGGCTGCGGATATTTTCAATCTGATTCCTCAAGCTATTCAGGAACTGCTGGAACTGGGCATCCAAATTCATAGTTGGGCCAATGCCTTGTGTTTGCTGTTGTAGGATTTGCCATTTGGTTTGCAATACTTTGTTTTGTTGCTCCAGAAAGCGAACCTATAAAAGAAATTACTTGAGAAAGTTGCCATCACAACACATTGGGATAACTGTGGGAAAAATTAACAGTAAAGTTGGACCCTTCCAGCTAAATGAACCTTAACTTGAGAGGCAGGACAAACTCTTCATGTTCCCTTCCCTATTTCACATTTCTTTTCTTTGTAAAATTGAAACTCTGATCATCTGGGAATAAGATGAAGATCTAAAGGACACAAGCATTTTGAGAAATTCATGAATCTCACTGGACTTCTGTGGAGCTGCCAGTGGAAATCAATGAAGGGCTTATTTCTACTGTATATCCTTCAAACTCTATTCTGGTCCAGGGACTTTACAAGAGTCTATGTGGTTATTTGTGCTGAGCGAGGATATTCCAGACAGACTCATTCAAGAAATGCAAATGCTGCCTCTTTCTTAATAGACTACAAATGATGGACACAAATGTTTGAGTAACAAGGCATCATTGTTTGAAAAGCTTGTGATAGTTTTCAGGCTTGGCATTTGCACTGAGCCATTTTTTAATTCTTGGCAACTCCAGTTACAGCTTAGGTAGGAAGGTTTGGAGGCCAGCCACTGATTTAGCTATTATAAAATATCTTATTTTTTAATTGTCTGAAAACATTCAGGCATATATAAGGCAATCAATTATATTTTGTATTATAAATTCCACACATGCTAGTTTTTAGAAGTGGCAACCCTTTCTGTTATCCTGAAATCATTTTGAAAAATCTACCCTAATGAACACCCTAATCACTTTTCCTGGTTTTCTACTTCTTCCCAGACATTTGCTTCTATTCCATTCATCACTAAATATCCATTTCCAGGAGCCCGACAAACAGAAGCATTTATATAGCTGCTAGGAATCTTCGTAGGTCTCATGATATCAAAGTTTCTTAGGATATTCTATGCAATTTCCAAATAAAGAGGGTTAGTAAATGAACTCATATCAGGAACTTTAGATGTTACTAGATTGTTAAGCACAAATTGCATCAAGTTTTACCACCTGACATGCATTCCATGACATCAATCAAAAATGTAGCACTTTCTGTTCTGTTAACCTACCTTGTCGATGAAGGAAGCAAACTGGTTGTTGAGTACTTTGATCTGCTCTTTCTCTTGATTTTTTACGTGCTGTATTTGGGGGTCAATTTCTACCCGGACCGGTTGCAGAAGATTTGGATCTACTTGGACACTACCAATACCTCCAGATCCATGGCCGCCAAGTCCTCTACCACCTAACCCACCTCCTATTCCTCCATAACCACCTCCTATTCCTCCATAACTACCTCCTCTTCCTCCGTAACCACCTCCTATTCCTCCGTAACCACCTCCTATTCCCCCATAACCACCTCCTATTCCTCCACAGCTGCCTCCTATTCCACCATAGCCACCACCAATTCCTCCATAGCCACCACCATATCCCCCGCAGATGCCCCCTCCATAGCCAGATCCATAGGAAATCCTTGTAACTCCACCATAGTTATGGAGGCTCCTGCTACCATATTGGCCTCTCATACCGCCACCATATCCTCTGCATGAAGAATAGCTACGTCTGATTCCTCCTCCGGTGCCGCCACCAAAAGCAGAGCACGAGCTGTAGCCCCTTCTGCTCCCCTTGGAGCCTTGGCAGATGGTCTGGAAAGACATTGTTGTGTTCAGGTCAAGGGAGCAAAGAGAGAATGAAGAGGCCTAGTAGCAGCTGGAGCAAAGTTTAAAATAAAGGAGTAGCTGGAGAGTGCTGATCCCAAAGAAAGCCAAATCCCTCTGGATCCAGAGCTGGAATCAGCTTCCCTTTTATGTATTCCAGGGAGGTGTTGGATTTGATTTTGCATGGGCGGGAAAGAGGATATCATTATATTGTGTTCGTGGCGTGGTGTAGTTGACAGATCTTCATCTCCAGTTTACCAAACATTGACTCTACCCATTAGCACAGCCCTTCTTACCAAAAGAAGAAAGGGAAGGCGAAGATGAGGAGGAGGACCAGCAATCGTGCAATATATTCAGTGACTAAGAGGTCTTAAGCTTGATTATTGTAGCTGATGAGTAGACCTGACACAGAGCAATTGCCTTTATTCTCAATGGCAATGGTATCAGTCTCTCCATCTGATTTTCAAATTGCAGAGTCCCAGGGCAGGCAGCTGCTGTGCAGACTGTCAAGCAATAGCCTGGCTTTCACAATTCCCAAAGCACGCCCGCAATTACAGCCTGAGTATGCCTCGATGTGGAAAATTGCCCTTGGCATCCTAAGAGCGGTTTTTCAACTTGCAATTCATGGAGCATCAACATCGCCTCAGCAAATCGTTATTTGAAAACAGCTTTGCTGGATAGGATAGGGAGAGAGTGCAGTGCTTTTTCAGAGGCAACCCTTACAGCTTTGTACCAGGAGCATCGAGGATCTGGCTTCAACGCAATCTAAATCCTAGGTGGGGGAAACTGACTTGCGTAAGATGAAGATCAGCTACTGATCAAAAGGGAATGAGCACACCTGGGTGACAGGGAATGGTAGGCGGGAGGAAACCTAAAAGCAATGGAAAACTGCAAGTGCCTACTTTTTTCCACAGAGATAGGCAAAGGGGAATGACAAAGAATTGTCAGGTTAAGCAAAAGCAATAAAAAGATAACTTAGAAAGTGATCAGTTGTGACACCAGTTTTCATGCCTTGCTTGCAGTGAAGTAGCTAAATCTGTTTTTCCCTCTGCTGCTTTCTTGAAGCAAGCCTTGTGTATGAGTGGGCAAGCAGACCTCATCAGAAAGTATAAAGAAGAACCCAAGATAGGGAAGTAGTTTAGAAAGAGTGGACCAGAGGTGGACAAAGATGTCTGAAAATGGTACAGACCATGGTGTACTGAAGTCATCTTGTGCCAGCTTGCAAGAATCAACTGTTAAATTTTGGGGAATTTTGCAAGCCAATTGAGAAAGTTGCCATCACAATGATGGCTAGTGTGTAGCAACACCATAGTGGCAATGGAGTCAGCCATATCAGTGAGACTTGGAGACATTGAAGGAGCTCAAGAGTATTGCCCAGCACCTATCTTCCTAGAGGAAGGAAATGCTTTGAATAGCTCTTCCTCTTTACAATCAGTTTGGAAAAGCCAGTTGTTAAACATCACTGGGTAGAGATGAGGCTGCAAACCATTGATCAGGATTGCTATCAGCCCACAGGGATTATGTACTTATTCTCACAATAATGACATCAACCTGAAGAAAACTATGATGAAATGTGTGTATTATGGAATTAATTCATCAAGAAGATGCTGTCTAAGCTGTAGCAGGCTCTTATCGTTTACTTGATATTTATATATTCCATATATAATAGCTGGAGCTATGTGACATTTTTCTTTTTTTTTCCTTCTTCCTTTCTCATTTAAAAAAACTTATAATTAAAACAGGTGGGCCAAATAATATATAAATATCATCATCATCATCATCTCATCAATCCTGTTTTAAAATCCACCTCAATTTAAACCTGCTTTGGTTTAACTACTCTGCCCTTGAACATTATTACTCAAGACCAAGTTTGAGCACTTATTTTAGCGCAGCAATTATAATACAGCACCAATCATTTTAATATTAAGGGAATTGCCCCTGGACGTATCTCCTTTACCTACACAGAAGTACGACTGGCACATCAGAACACTGTATCTAAAAGTATGAGGTAATATATGACTCCTGATATTTTATAAGACACACCCTACTGGTTTTCTTGGCAACCAGGTGGAAGTGGTTTGCCATGTCCACAACCTCAACAGAATAATAATCCTTTAGAATTGGCCATCCAAGTTGGGCACCACCTTTCTTCTGAGAAGACCACAACCAAAGTTATTGAAAGCTACTTAAAAGTCAAAAGAAAAAAAAGATGGCGCTTATCGAGCCTTTTCCCAATGCAATTAATTTCATGAGATAATTAGCAACTGCTGGTGTTGTTGTAGAGCCAGCCCTTGTATTGGATTGTGTCGGGGAATTGCACAGCAACTGTCCAAATAAAGTCAGAGATGCTTATACAAACTTGCAGTTTTATATAAATAAATATATTTGACATTTATATTTATAGCAGACAAGACAGTCAGGAACACAGGAACATCATCAGGTAAATCAAACAACATACAGAGAACACAGAAGAAAATGAGGGGAGATTCCCCCTTTACACCCACAACTAATCATAGCATAGATTGCCTCATGCAGCACTCTCCAACCAATCAATCACAACTGTGTGTTCTGGCCCATCATACACTGAACTGTTTCAGCTACTAAATTTAAGATCCTAACAGACTGAAAATGAATTTAACCATTTTAGAAGCTTTTTTTTCCCACGTGAGGAAGGACAAAGACCATCTGTAATTTTATTTTATTGCAGTTTACAGTTTTGGGTTGCTAAATCTAGTTGGGTCTGCAGGAAAGTCATAATCTACAAAGCAATGGGTGTGTCATCCCAATCCAAACACCATTCATCAATCCAAACACCATTCATCAATCCAAATACCAATCATCATACCACTCTATAAAGCCTTGGTAAGACCACACCTAGAATACTGTATCTAGTTTTGGTCACCACACTATAAAAAAGATGTTGAGACTCTAGAAAAAGTTTAGAGAAGAGTAACCAGGATGATTAGGGGATTGAAGGCTAAAACATCTGAAGAACGGTTACAGGAATTGGGCATGGCTGGTCTAGTGAAGAGAAGGACCAGGAAAGACATGATCGCAGTGTTCCAATATTTGAGGGGCTGCTACAGAGAGGAGGGAGTCAAGCTATTTTCCAAGGCACCTGAAGGCCAGACAAGGAAAAATGGACGGAAACTGATTAAGGAGAGATTCAACCTAGAAAAAAGGAGAAAATTTTCTGACAGTGAGAACAATCAACCAATGGAACAGAAGTTGCCTTCAGAAGTTGTGGGAGCTTCATCCCTGGAAGCTTTCAAGAAGAGACTGGACTGCCATCTGTCAGAAATGGTATAGGGTCTCCTGTTTGGGCAGGGGGTTAGACTAGATGACCTACAAGGTCCCTTTCAACTCTGTTAATCTAATCTAATCCTGTT